CTGGCGCAATATGGTTCATGGGGTCACGAAGAGTCGGACACGACTTAACGACTGAACAAAAGTTCCTAGCTTTACCAGTCCAAAGCCACTGCACAGCTATTCCCATAATTTTCTCTCGAATAGATTTGTTTCTTAGTTTTCTGGTTGAAAAAAAAAAAGTGGTTAAAAAAAAAAACCCACTGAGAACACATGAGAAAGTAACAAATAGAAGGCAACATCATTTGAATCCCTGTAACTTGTTGGGTGGAAGAAGAAGAGAACTGTATATAAAAGCTTTCACTGTAAATTTCCTCTAGGGCTGAAGCATGCCATTTGAAACAGTATAGTTGGAGAAAGATTTATTTTAGCAATTTCCTTTAAAAAATATAAATGGTTATATTTTTTGTAATCTCAACAGTTAGAATACCATCTTGCATTTCTGTAGCACTTTAGAGTTCGCAAAATGTTTTGTACACATTACTTCAGTAATCCTTAAATCAGTACTATAACATAGGCCCATATTTATATTACTGTAAGAGGCTCTCTCTGAAAGAGAGAGAACATGAAAGCATGTTTGTAGGCTGAAATGACAGTTTCCTGATTTGTATTTCAGACACTGCTGAGGACATTATTCTTTTAAGCTCCATTTATTTCCACTGTCATTGATTTATATCTTTGTCTTTGAGATACAAACAGGACCTGAAAGTGCTTAATTTTAGTTAAGGAAAGATGTCTTCCAGTTTATTTTAATTTATAAAAACTTTTATATATCACATTGCTCTAAGAAAGATCGCTTGGACAGATTAGAACAAAAATAATTAATACATTAAAACAGAAAAGCATTAAAACCCTAATTAATACAAGCAAAGCAAGCACGTTTATAATTGGCCACATTAAAATAGAGTAGAACCCTAGCAAAATTCTATTTCTCCTGTCCATGAAAATGAGAGACATCTCACAAAACATTCATTTGTTCATCTATTTTAATTCTTAGTCCACCATATCAAAATGCCTTCTGATTGTTTTAAACTAGACAGCAGCCATAAAACACATCTTTGTAAGTAACTATACATGATTCTACTTACAACACAGTTGTTTAAATGCAGGAATACTGACAAATGTGGTTACAAATGTGGTTACCTCTTCATTGCTTTTATAATTTAATTTGTAGCCTTCGCTACTTTTTAATAATTTAAGTTTGCTTCATAATCAAACTGATATCTCCCCCACTCAAAAGCGATGATCATATATAATTTCACATTTTGCATCTACATGCAGATTACATTTTATGCATGTTGAATTTACAACATTTTTCAAGCTCATTTTCTCAACTGTTCATGCAGTCTAGTATGGTTTTAACTTAGCTTCACGGTGTGAGCCCATCTAATATAGAAACTGAATGTTCTTATGTACCAACATCCTCCCCCTTCTCTTTCTCCTTCCATTAAGGCTTTGTCATGATATCCACAGTTCTACAAAATCAACATTTGCAACATTTCCTGAATAGAAGAAGCTGAAATAGTCTCTCATGCAAAAGAAGACCTATAATTTGCTGATTCTTTACAGTGTACTGTGTAAGATAAAGCTGTGTACACTTCAGAAATAATTCAGGAGACGTGCTTCAGGCCTCAGGCTAATGCAAGCTCAACAAGAGTTCTGAAATTTAAAAAGATGCTGCTCTTTTAAGAGTCACAATAAACATATGTGGTTTTTAATGATGATTTATTAAAGCAGCAACATCTTTTTTCAGGTATAAACAAGTTTAAAAAGTGTATTATTAATTAATACCAGAGAAAGATTGTGCTTGGATGAGGTCAGAGAAATATTAAATTATTTCAGGTTTCTGCTGGCACGTAGTTCAGCAGTGAGGCTGAAGTAACTGTGAGCAGCAGAGGAGGTAGTTAACTTTTACATATCCTGTCACAGAATCAAATTCTGAGCATATTATCTGGCAATTCTATTTTGCTAATCCTGTGTTTAGCCTAGGGAATACCTTTTGGCTTGAACTTTAAATTAGTAGAGGAAAAGCTACTGCAGAGGAAATAAATATGTGGTCTTAAAAACCAAGTAGATCAGAGTTGAGCAACCTGGTTGCAGGGCCATAAGTAGCCCCTGAGCCTTCCTTTTACTCTTCTGGAGTCCCCTTCAATAGCCCCGTCAGATGCCAGGTGACCACCGTTTTGATGTGGGGAAGAGGTGAAAATGACAGAACAAGCCTGAGGTCACCTTAGCATGGGGAAAAGCAAGGTGAAGGTACAGGCCTCCTTCGCTGAAAACCCTGCCCATGTGAATTTGACCCAGGTGCCAGGTTGATTGTGCCTACCTAGGAAATTCACTTTACGTAATCAGTTTGCTAGCTGTGTAATCCATGGCGTGTTTCAGGAGCCTAAGGTCGGGCCCGTCGGGCCCCCTATTTTGTCCACAACCACAACCCTATGAGGTAGGTTAGGCTGAGAGAGTGTGGCTGAACGTGGGCTAGAACCTGGCTCTCCTCTCCCCCTTAACTGCTTTACCACGCAGGCTTTAATCCCAGCCACCAAGGTTGCCCACACTGGTCTACAGCATTATCTACAAGAGGAGACTGTAAAGCAAAATATTGAAGAGAATTAACGTTATGAAACGTCCCTCTGTTCAGCTCCGAAATGTTGGACGACACGTGAAGGAGGGGCTCTCCTTCTAGGGATTCCTCCCACCATCTGCGTCCGATCTGGACGGTCCCTAGATGGCAGCCACGAGTAAGAATATCCTGTATCATGTCTTCGCTGCCATCTTGCGGTCCTGAGGAGTTTTGCAGCTTGCATACGGTAGCTCTCGTTACGCCCGGCGGCATGCAATTATTTCTAACAGACAAACACGTTAAAGTTTTATAGCGTGAACTGTGCAATTAATTCATGTTGAGGCTTTTTTTTTTTTTTTGAACACTCTCAGGCGGTGTGTGAATGTGTCTGACGCAGCTGACTCTCAGATTACTGCATTATGCTAAAGCGAGTTGGCAATCGCCCTGCAAAGGCTATGGAAACCGCGATCTCTATTTTGTTTTGTTTTTTTATGCGCTCCCAAAACGGGAGGCTTAAAACCTTCCCCTAGAAACCAGAGGTATTAGCGGGTGAATTTATGATGTTCTTCCACCCATTTTGGCTGAGATCCTTTCGCTCGGGACGTTCCGGAAGAGATGGGTGTCTCCACTGAAAAGATGCCTGGATGAGCGTCATCAGACGAACTTTCCTTCGCACAAACCCAGCGCGTTCTGTCCTCCGAAGTGGGATTCGGAGAACCCTGGAAGGCGGGCGCCCGGGATCTGGTTCTCCCAGCTGGTCCTCCGTATGGGTGATTGTGGGAGAGGAGCGTGTGCAAGTGTGGCGAAAGCTGAAAGAAAACATGGAGAGATGGGATGGGGCTC